CTTCCCTGTCCTGAGCTTAAACTGCTTGGGGGCTGTTTCTAGCCCATGCCCTCTCTGTGACTGCCTCTTATAGCTATCTCCCACCCAGTCATTGTGGTAGAGTGACCCCAGAAATTCTGAAGTGTAGTTGTTCTGTAGCTCAGTCTTAAATAATTTACCCCTTCCCCAAATGGCTCCTGATTAAACACTCTCACATGTAGTGGGTGCTGCATTGGATTTCTTCTCCAACTCTAACCTGCTTTGTAGAAACAGTCACTTTCAGAATAAAATCCCCAATCAGCTTTTCTCATGCCGTAACCTCTTATCTCAAGGAGACTGTCACATTAACCTCATGGGTTACTTAAGGAATGTTTTTAATGCTCTGTCTACATCATATGCTCTCTGCATTCTAGCTTCTAGCCTGCCAACCTGCTTTAAAAAATTGGAAGTGAATAGAAAGTCATCAGTCAGCCCTTGAACATAAGGACAGCATCTCCAGAGCATCTGGCTTATGTACAAGGTGTGATTAAAAAAAACACAGTGAATGCTTAAATTAATTTAAAGGATAATTAACCATAAAAGACACATTGCCTCACTTCAAACATACTTATCCCATCATCGTTGCCACTTTCTGAAGCAATTCTGGAGGTCCTCTTTTATGAGTGTCTTTTTGTGGCAGCCTTGATGTCCTGGCAGTTTTAGTCACATAAAAATATTCAGTGTGTCCTTATCCACCTTATTCAATGGATCTGGCTCTGTGCAACTTACATCTCAACCCAAAAGTCAAAATGACCATGAGAGGTTTTGAATCACTTCAGGATGTCCAGACGGCCATAACAGTGCAACTGAAGACACAAAACTTCAGAATTGCTTCATAAAGTGGCAAGAAAAAGGGAGTAAGTGTTTGAAGCTAGGAGGATGTTTTTGAGGAGAATTAATGGCAATATGTCTTTTAACTGGAGATATAATCCACAGTCCCCAGTTTGCTAAAGTTTGGTTTTAAACTTTTACATTTATTTTCATGAGAAATATTGATGTGTAGGGTTTTGTTTTTCTTTGTTTTTTTAAAATATCTTTGTCAGATTTGGCTGTCAGAGTAATGGCAGCTTCATAGACTGAACCAGAAAATACTCTTTAGTTTTCTGGAAGCATGCAGGGGTTTGAATATGTCCTACAAAAAAGCATGTGTTAGAAACTTAGTCGTCCAGGTTCTTGTGCGTGACAGATGTAGGAGATGTGTGGCTGGCAAGAAGGCAGCAGCACAGTTTATTAAGGTGATGGTTTCCTCAGAATGAGCAGGCTTGTACTGGCAGAAGAAAAATGGCATGAGTGCAAAAGGCATGGAGTGTAGGGACTTAAATGTTGCACCCTCTTTTGGACACCTCCCATGGGGGTCTTGCAGAGCATGATTGACAGGGTGCTGAGTCGAGTTAACCGTGTTTATTGCCCTTGTCCTTTCCCATAGTTCACTCTGTTGTGATTGTATGCATAAGATGTAGTCTATATGCACACTTTATGAACTATATGAATCTATATGAATTTTATGAATCTATATGAACTTTAGTGGGGAAATGAGCCCAGGGGAAGAAAGCTTATACCAGGTTATGCAGGGAGGTCTGGTGCTCACATGTGTTGGTTTGGAAGTTTGGAATTTTCCAGGGCAGGGTTGGGGCTCTTTATTCCCCTTATCTTGGTCACTGTGTAGTAAGCCTTGGGTCAAGGGTTGGGGGTTGGACTTGACATGTTGCCTAGGTTCAGGTGAGTGGAGAGGAGTGTGTCTTGTCACCAGTACAGACTGGGGAGGTTCACTAGAGAAGAGACACAGCTGTCTCTCAAGCCCCTAGCCTGTCTTCCAGCCCTCATGGCAGTCCAGCTTATATTCAGGGGTCTACATAGTAGTGGCTACATGCCAGTAATGGCCTTGGTCATGTTATTTACATTGGCCAGCATTGACCTTGATTATATCAGTATTTACACTGAGACGGAGGAGCTGTGCCTTCACTGAAATCTTGCTGACTTGTACTTAATGTACATTGGACCCCCTCCCCCCAGCTCCCATCTGAAGAAGTGTAGCCATATTAGATTTCATTTTTCCCTACACAGTGGTCCTGTAGCAAGTGGAAGGAAGCAGCCCCCTATCTGTATTAATTGCTACAGTGTTGAGAGATGGAGCCTCTGGGTGATGTTTAGGTAATGAATGAGAACTCTACTCTCACAAATAGATTAATGCCAATTAAAACAGAGCTTGAGGCCGTGAGTTGGATCTCTTTTTTTCTGGCTTGTATTGCCTTACCCTTCCACCTTTTATCATGGGGCGTTGCATCACGAAAGCCCTTGCCAAATTTGGCTCCTCAATCATGGACTTCCCTATCTCCAGAATTGTATGCTGAATAAATTTCTGATGTTTATACATTATCCAGTCTAAGATACTCTGTTATAGTAGCACAAAACAAACTAGAATAAAAAATTGGTTCCTAGGAAGTGGTATGTACTCATGATATTAAAAATACCTGAAAACATGGAAACAGTTTTAGAACTGGATAATGGGCAGGGGCTGGAAGAATTTGGAGGAACAGGTTAGAGAAAATTTAGATTTCTGTGAATGGAGCATTAGTGAGTGCACAGAAGACAAGAGCTGAAGAGAGAGCTTAAATATTAGGAATTAAGTGGTCATGATCAGAATATTGGTAGAAATCTAGAAGGATTGCTACTAAGCTTTTCTGTTTCATATGGTATTCATGGTATATTGCCCAGGATGGCCTCAAACTCCTGGGTTCAACCTGTCCTCCTGCCTTCATCTCCGAAGTACTACTGATTCCTACTCACTGTGTCTGGCTAATTTCCCATATGATTTCTTCTTTTTTTAAAAAAAATGTTTTGTAATTAATAAATTTTATTTTAGCTTATTCCATTCCACTCCTCAAGCCCTTTCCCCTCCCTGTGTACAAAATGATTTCTTCTTTGACTCATAGTTGGTTTTTTTTTTTTTTAGTACTGGGGATCGAACTTGGGTCCTTGCGCTTGCGCAGCAGGCGGCGGAACCACTGAGCTAAATCCCCGGCCCCCTTGAACTCATTATGTAGCCCAGGCTGGCCTCAAACTCATGGTGATCCTCCTGTCTCAACCCCTATAGAGTGCTAGGATTACAGGTGTGTGCCACCACACCTGGCATAGATTATTTGTAAGTATGTTAGTTTTCAAGAATTTGAGAATTTTTCAAAGATCTTTTTATTGTTTCCTAATTAATAAAGAATTTTTAAAGAAAACTCAACCACAGTGCTATTATGCCATCTTATTTAAAAAAGCAGTAGTTCAAAAACACAAGAAAAGCAATAGCTCAAAAGAAGGACAGTTTGAAAGAACTCAGAATCGGAAATACCTGTGTCAGAGAAATGTGCTCAAAGGCCAGTGGAGGGAGTCAAGCAATGTGGAGGAAGTGGACAGAAAGAAAAAGGGATAGACAGACACCAGGATTGGCAAAGGAAAGATAAGTGTAAATTTGGGGCTGACTGAATGAGGAAGACAGAGGATAGTAAGGGAAAGTTGTGTTGCATTAGAGTATAGCACTGATCCAAGCCATGGATGGTAGTGAAGATTGGGAGAGAGTGACAGTTAAATTGGAAGTTTTTAGTTGCCTGGAATAATCCCTGAGGCTTCTTTGTGTAAATTAGAGAATAGAAGGGAGAGTTGTGTTTCTGCTAGTACCATGAGGAGACAGAAAGAAGTAGTAAGAATTAAATTTATGATGGAGAGAAATTTGTCTTGCTGGATTTAGTGGGGAAGAAAGGAGACCAACACTTAACTGTACTTCCGTGTGCTGAGCTTTTCTTTGTAAGCTGAGACACATTGTCTGATGTGGTTCCTGAAGCCTCCTATGTGGTATTTCTTTCCACTTACAGATGAGAAATATGAAGTAATATGCTGAGAGCCACATAACTAGTCAGTGGAATTGGCATTTGAACACGAATTCTACCCAGCTACAATCAGTTCTTTCCACTGAGTTTGTAAATTCTTGAGAACATGCTAGCCAGTGTCCCAGTCGACTGCTGTTCAGAGTTCTGCCTTATGTCATATGCTGTATGTTGTATGATATAACCCAGGACATTTCTGACACTGTTCTTTTAAAAACAACTTTTGATTTTGTGTTCTGAAGTCCTTAGAAATAATTGTTTTTCTTTCCTTGTTTGACTCCCTCTTCCTCTCTCCCTCCCTCTCCTTTTTTTCTCAGACAGGGTCTTGAACTCCTGGGTTCAAGCATTCTTCCCACCTTGGCCTCCTGAGTGATAAGTGCTGGGACTACAGGCATGCACCACCACACCTGGCTAGAAAATAGTTTTAAGGGCATAGATTTTTGAAGATTTCATCTAATAAATTGGGGGAAAGTTGTGAAGTTTCTATGGTAGTGTGTTCATAATATCTGCTATCAGTACTATTTTATTGAAATTCAGATGTTACTTGTGTAATATTGTGCTAAAAGTTTATTTTTGTTAAATTAGGATAAAGCATAGGGAAGAAGGATTTATTTTATTGTTTTCTTAATACCTGATTGATTTCATGATGTTGAAACTGAAGGTCATTGAGCTATATTACATGAACTTGTGATAGCATTCTTTCACACAGTAAAGACAGTAAAGCTTACCCTAAATAGCAGTGGCAAATCAGTACAATGATATTTCAACATTTTAACAAGGACGTGTGGACCGTGACACTTTGACTTAGAAGGAAGTGCTTCCCATCAATTTTCTGTTTTTCCCTCTTACAGCCTCATCCTGCCGCTAAGCAGTGAATGGTTCTAAGTAATAGAATGTCTATGACAATTAGGTTTTGAGCTGTTTAGTGAGTGACTAACTGACCTGTTTCGTAAGAGCTTAGATTTACTTCTGATTTGTACTTTTCAGCAGTGTTTTAGGATCATCACATCATAGCTTTGATTTTGTCTGTTTCTCAGCCTGTTGGTTGTAGTCTCCATATAGATTTTAAGTGATATTTTAAAAGCACCAACCTACTTGTCTCCTATATAGGGATATGCATTCTGAGAGAGGCCTAAGAGAAGCCTATTTACATCTGCCACCCGAGAGTCTATTGGTAAGTCTTAGAAGAGTTAAACTCAATTTTACAGAACTTTTCATGAGGAGGGAACTGGGTGTGGTTGTGGATTTTGGAAGATATAGGTCCTTATAGCTGTACTCAGTGGGAGTGGGGTGGAGTGGTTTGGGGTGGGATGTGGGGGAGAGGGGCTGTCTTAATTACTTTTCTCATTGCTGAGACAAAATACTTGACACCCGCAAGTTAAAGGAGGAAAGGTTTATTTAGCTTATAGTTTGTAGAGGTTTCATTCCATAGTCAGTTGGCTTCAAGGCAGGGTGGCATGGCAGAGGGGCATTGCACTGAAGAAAGAGTCCATGGTGTGACAGGGCAGACAGAAGGCAGTAAGCAACAACGTAGTGAAGCAGCCGCAGCAAGCAAGCAAGTTTATATTTCATATGGGGTACCCACCTTTTTGATGGTGCCACCCACACCTAAGGTAGGGCACCCTTCATCCCAGCATCACACACCCTGACCCAGCCACCTTTGAAACTCCCAGCCTATGACTCCATGAGGGTTTGCAGGGGTCATCTAGATATAACCATAACAGAGGCCAAGGTTAGCTACGAAGGGTGAAGGACTTTGGGATTGGAGAATGATACATCAATTGGAGGTCCAGGCAAATTGACCAGCCATAGGGTAGCTGGTTTAATATGAGAAACAGACCTGCTGTTCTTAGCTTAAGTGTGGGTGGGAGTCCCAGAGAGTGGCTTTGAAATTCTAGATCAAGTGATATTGTTGAGGACTGTCTGTCAAGCAGAAATGTTGAAGCTGAATATTTAATACTGCTTATAGCAGAAAACTTCTGCCCATCTTTCTTACTGTTGGCTGGCTCACTGTGTATTATTCTTGTGTTCTGACTTCTCCCTTCTCTAACCAGTGGCTTTCCTTTCTTTCTTACTGTGATTCTGTTTTGTGCCAGACCTAGGATTGCCAGGTAGAATTCTGGATGTCCAATGAAATTTGCATTTCAGATAGGCAGCAAATGCCTTTTTTGTCTGTACTTTAAATATTACACAGAGGATACAATGAGGTAAGGTGAGTGTTGTGGCAGAACTGTGCCAGAGAAGTAGGAGAGAGGAAGGGCCGACTGTCTGGAGAGCCAGAAAAATGTCACTAAGCAAATGACATTGGAGCTGAATCCTGAAGTGACCTGTGTGCAGTTATTTCTCTGGCAAGAAGATGGTAAAGGACTTTCAGGAAGAGGAGGTAGTAGGTGCAAAAGTGTGGGTATTTAAAAGTGAGTGGCTATGCATGTATGTAATGAAATGGGAAATGAAGTGGGTGATATGGTTACTTTTAATAGTTCAGGGTGGTTCCAGAGACAGTTGGGTTGGCAGGTGGGACAGCAGCCTGATGGAGGAGACTACCCTGAATGGCTGGCGTCATCCAATAGGATGGGACCTGGATGGAACAAAAGTTGAAAGAGGAGGAAATCCACCAGCACAGGCCATCTGTGTGTGTGTGTGTGTGTGTGTGTCTGTCTGTCTGTCTCTCTGTCTCTCTGTTTCTCTCATTCATTCTCTCTCTTGCTTTCTGCTTTCTGTCTGCCATGAGGTGAGCAGCTTTCTCTGGCATGCTCTTCTATCATGATGTTTCTGTCTCACCACTGGCCCAAAAGCACTGGAGCTAGCTGATCATGGACTAAAACCTCTGAAGCCATGAGCCGAATTAAACCTTTCTGCCTTTAATTGAGTTGACTTTCCCAGGGATTTTTGTCATAGTAATGAAAAGCTGACATGGAGAAGGTAGATTGGAATTGTGATATGAAGGACTGTGGATCTTTACTAAGGTGCTTGACCTTGGGCAGTGAGATATTATCTGACAGGAGGATGGCCTGGTGGGAAATGTCTTAATACAGTGTGGAGGAGCAGTTCAGATGAGGAAGGATTGAAGGCAGGGAAAGTTTCAGGAGACTGTAGTGGTTGTCCTTTTAGACCTCTTCTTTGACATACAAAGAGCCCAGGATAGGTTTGCAGGGTACTGGGGTCAAGGAGGAACTGCTGGCAGGTTCAGTTGGAACTTCAGTTGGGCTCTTAAGAATCATCTTCATTATTTACAAGTGTTTGTGAAGGTAGAGTACACCAAGGCCTTCTATAGTCTGATGGTCCAGGCTACTCCTTGATGGGAAAGAAAACCTGGAGTGACCCACCTGTGGGAAATAGGCATGGCTTTTGGATGTTGGCCATTACAGACCCCTGTTTTACTTTAGCATTTGCCAGCTGTGGAAGTTTTGGCTTCACCATTTTTACAGTAGATCTGATAATAACATTTATGTCTAAGGGTAACAGAGGACTGAATGAAATGATGTACATGAAATTCCCAGGACTGCAGTCAACCATCAGCATAGAGCAGGCTCCCAGGGTTTAGTTTCTCTCCTAACCTCTTGCCAGTGAGGTTTCAGAAGACAGAACAGTGGATTTTGAAATCCGTTTGGGGCTTTTACCCTGAGCTGGGCCAGCTGGGGACTGCAGGGGAGAGGGGATAGATAAGCCATGAGGCCTTAATGGTTCCTTCTCAGATTTTATCCTATATATCAGAATTCCCTTCCTTTAGCTATCTAGCCTTTCCTAGGAAATAGGTTGGAAATCTGGGGAAGTAACAAGCCCTGTGCATAGACATTCCTTTGGGTTTCACCTCTGCTGGCTACCAGTGCTATGGCTTTTGCAGCTCAATAGATTCTACAGATGAGACTCTATGATACGATACAGAAAGATGAACCTTTCTTGCTAATTTAAACAACTCTTCTTATTTCAAGGTTTCTGAGCCTCCATTCTATTGTTATTTATTAATTTATTCTTCATGGTACTGAGTATTAAATCCATGGCCTTGTATATGCTAAACATGACCTCTACCACTTACCCACACCTCCAGCCCACACTGTCATTATTTTAGGCCATATAATTCCTTTTTTTGAGGGGGAGTCTTCCTTTGTATTATAGGATGTTTAGTGGCATCCCTGGCCTTTTTCGCACTCAGTAGTTCCTTCCTCTTTTTTTGTGTGAGGGAGGTATCGGGGATCGAACTCAGGACCTTGTGCTTGCTAGGCAGGTGGAGCGCCACTGAACTACATCCTGGCCCAGTAGTTCCTTCCTCTTGCCTAGTTGTGACTACCAAAAATGCCTACTTACAATGCCAAATGTTCCCTGTTGTGCAAAATTGCCCTTTCCCTTCTTGAGTACCACTGCTTTGTACAACTCTATCGCATTTTAAATTCATTTGTTTTTTAACCTAACCAAGGAAATGCTTGTTGAAAAAGTATTTTCTTACTAAACTGATTTTGAATTTAATCTGTTTTAATTTGTTTAATGTAGGACTTCCTTTGTGCCAATGTCAGAGAAATTCTCAAGTCTAAAATTTTAAGCTATTTAGAAAAGGATTTTTTACATTGCTGTATATGTGTGTGTGTGTTTACATTGCTACATTTGAATTATTAGTGAAATACAAAAGAAAGTGTTTCATTTTATATTTTGGATCAGAAATTGTCACAAATGTAGAAACAGATGTTTTTAATTAAAATATGGTTGACAGTTAATTCTGTGAATACCCTATTGTGTAAGTTTGTAGCTGCCTGCCAAAAGTGTCAGTATAAAGCCATAGTTTGAAGGGGTCTTGAATAAACTTTGTTTTAAAAAAATAAATATTCAGAAATCTTGGATGAGGAGGGATTGGCCAGAGGAGACTCAGCATTTCTTGCATCCTGGCAGTTTGAAATTTGGGAACCAATTTGTTTTGGACTAAATTTGAAGAAGTCATTTGTGTACTGAAGCCAGAAATTCTTTCAGGCCGTCCTTTTCCAGCTCTGTTACTTGTCTGGAATGTTAAGAATTGTCAGTAGTTTAACTGCCTTTTCACTGACTTGGATTGAAGAGAGAATCTCCAGAAATGGGTTTTAGAACTCTTGGTGTAGTATGAGATTGTTCATACTATTACTTTTGGGGGGGGGGTACCGGGGATTGAACTAGGGACTTTGCGCTTGCAAGGCAGGTGCCGGAAGCACTGAGCTAAATCCCCGGCCCTCATACTATTACTTTTTGAAAAATAGTTACATGGTTCTATGTTTGGAAAATTCAGAGAGCTTCTCATTGTTTCTAAATACTTCCTTGTGTTAAATCTTACAGAGAGTAATTGAGAGAAATCCAAAATCAGTGTGAATGGGCTTTTCTGTGGCTAAAACAAGTGGAAATAGAGTTTTATGCCCTAGCTGTGGCAATTTAGAGAATTAGCAAGACCCCGAATTAAAAAAAAGACTGAGGATATAGTTCAGTGTGAAGACCCTGGATTCAGTTCCCATTCCTTCTACCCCCAAAAGTCTAATGTGTTTGGAGGTGGGGCTTTCAGAAGATGATTAGACTGTAAGAGTGCTAACCTGGAACTAACTCCGTCAGTGGATAAGTTCATAGCTTAATGGGCTGTTAGGAGGTAGGGCCCAGTTGCAGGAAGTAGGTCTTTGGGGGTGTGACTTTCAAGGATAGAATTTGTCCCTGGCCCCTTCCTCTCTGACTCTCACTCTGTCTCCTCCCTTACTGCCCTGAAATGAGCAACTTTCTACCACCATGCCCTTGTACTGTGGTATTTCTGCCTTGGAGCCAGGTGATCATGCACTGAAACATCTGAAATCAGGAGCTGAAATAAATCTTTCCTGCCTGTAAATTGTTTTTTCAGGTGTTTGGTCATAGCAGTAAAAAGCTAGCACAGTTGTTTAGTGGTCTTTTGAGGTGTTGTTATTGATGACTAACTCAGTTTCCCCTAGCATCCTATTAGTAGTTGTGGTTTAGTGGAAAGAGCTCAGACTTTGGGCAAGTTGGGCAAGTTGCTTCCTTCTTTAGTCACAGTTTCTTCCTCCTTTCCAGCCTTAGGGTAATTGAGAAATCCAATGTGCTTGTATTGTGCTAGTGTTGTGCAGTGAGGCCTTCTTTATTGGCAAGCTGGTGCTCTCCAGGTTGCTTGCCTTCATATTTAAATGACCATAGCAACATCATTAAAATGTCTTAGCCTCT